GGGATATTTTTCCTGGATGTAGAATTCTGGATTGACAGTTTTTCTGCCAGTATTTACAAATGTTCTACTTCCTTCTGGACTTCATGGTTTCTGATGAGAAATTCCCAGTTATTCCAATTTTGTTCCCCTGTAAGTAATGCTACAGGGTTGCTATGAGTGGGAACCGACTTGATGGCACAGAACAGCAACAACACAAGTAAAATGGAAGAGTTGAGTTTTCAGCCATTATTTACTCAAATACTTTTTCTGGACCACATTCTCTGCTTTCCTTCTGGAACTCCAGTGAATTGAATATTAGACCTCTTGTTACTGTCCCACAGGTTCTTCACCTTTTTTTTTTTCCTAAGTTCATTGACTCTCCTGTATCATATCTGTTCTGCTATTGAGCCTGTCCATGAGTTTTTTATTTTGGCTATTATATTTTTCAGTTCTAAAATTTCCGTTTGGTCATTTATATATTTTCTATCTTGCTGAGTCTTGCCATCATTTATTTTATTTCAAGACTGCTCTTTCTTATTGGAACATTTTCATAATAGCTGCATTAAAGTCTTTGTCAGATAAATCCATCATCTGTGTCAGTTTAGCATTGGCATCTGTTAATTGTTACTTCTCATAAGAGTTGAGATTTTCCTGATTAGTCATGTGTCAAATAATTTTGGATTGCATCCTGGACATTTTAAATATTATGAGACTGTGTCTTGTTTAAATCCTATGGTGAACGTGATATTTTTGTTTTAATAGGCAGTTGAGCTGGTTGGGGACAAGCTGCAAGTTCTAACCAGCCTTCTGTGAGTTGTGGTTCCAGTGTCAGTTTTTTTTAATAAAGCCTCTGAAGTACTGTTCAGATCTGTCCTGCGTGTGTGTCACACAGTGGCCAGTTTAGGACCTGGATTGTCATCTATCTCATAGCTCTGTTCTCAGAGTCTATAGTATGCTACTTACGGTGAACCCAGGAGTTCATAAATAATTTTATCAGGTTGCCTTCCTGAGATTCTCCCTCTTTATGATCTCTCTGGGACTTTTTGGTTACCCATATCTCCCCTTTTTAATCCTCTAGCCATAAAACTGGGACTTTGCTTTTCCTCCTTTGCTGCACACTTCTTGTGACTCTGCCTACTTCTGGGGCCAACTAACAAGAAGACAGAGAGAGTGAGAAAATAAGCAAGAAATGTTCATGCCATCCTTTTGAAGAGGAAAATTTCCTCCCTTGGAGTTTTAGGCTCTTGTGTATGCCCATTGTTGCTGCTGTCATTGCCTCCACTACCATCACAAGATTGCTTGGGTGCTGGGATGTAAGAGTATATTGAAAAACCAAAAAAAAAAAAAAAGAAAAACAACTGGAGGATTTTCTTCCTTTCTTTGAGTGTTGAGAGACTCCTTTCCTGTTCCTCAAGCCAAAACTAGAGGACTTTTCCTGGAGCTTTCTCTGTCCACCGCTGAGTGTTCACTTCCAGGTTTTCACTGCGTTGAATCTAGGCCAAGGGATGTGCAAAGGGGAAAAATGGTGATTTGAATTATGATCTTCCCCAATCTACTATTGGCTCTTAAGAATCTCTAAACAGCTACTTCATGCATTCTGTCTGGGTTTTATAGCTGCTTTTAGTGGGAAAGACAGGGCAGAGTGTGCCTACTCCATCTTACCTGGAACTCCTGATGTATTTTTGAAATCAGTGAAAAGTTTAGAATAAGTGAAGTAATCATAACTCTTTAAGTTATGGGTATCCCCTCTCCCTTTGATTTCATGCCTTATGTTGTTTAAGAGTACATGTATTAGAGCTCACCTGAGGCTGGCCTGTTTGTGTGCACATTAAATGTATAAATTTAAAAAAACATTGTGGGCACTAGAAGCCATTGGGGTTTTGTTTTTTAAGATAAGCAGGATAAATAATCTTTGCCTAAGTAAAAAGTAATTTTATTTATTTTTCTAATTTGTCAGAAGTAAGATTCCAGCCCGAATATTGAACAACTATCTTCTAGCAAGTTTCCTTTTTGTTTGTAGTACTTATTAGAAGTACATTAGGTCTCTCTCTTTAATCACCAGTACTTCTTATTGAAAGTATATTGAAAATTCCCTCTTTCTCATATTTTTTCTCTTTTCTCCTCTTATTTCCTTCCTCTTATCCATCGTTCTTTCCTTTTCTATCTCTTCTGTGTGTTTTTATTATGGTATTTATTCAGGCTCCTCCTGCCCTGCCTCCCACCCCCCAGTCCTACTGCTAAAATGGGTGGGTAGGAATTATGTAGGGGTGCTGCTCTGAGAGTTTGAACTGTGATTGGGAGCATAATCCCCCCCTCAAAGGCTGTCTGCATCAGCTGTCCCCTGGCTAATTAGAATTCCAAAGGGCATTAATAACCATTTAAATTAATCGGATTATACCTGCAGTTGCTATAGGTGAGGTTCAGGCTGTTTAACTCCCTGTTAACGAACCCAAACATGAATCAAAACTAGGTAGGAATTTAACATTTTACTTTCCATTTATTCCCAGAGGAAGAAAACACCATGACATAATGGTCATACAGACTACTCCACCTGCCCTCTTGCGGCAGTCTAGTTTCCAACAATGCAAGAAAGCCCTGCCATTAATTCAGCCTTCATTAGAAGACCAACACCAAATAGCGTGATCTTGTGAAAATACATTTGCATTGTTTGTGAAAGCCCTTTGGGGCAGAGCTGTAGAAAACCACCTAACAGTAAATAATCCTTTTTTTAAATGCAAAGTATTATAAAGAGCTAAAAATTCTCTCCCTAGCAACTAATGTTGCAACAGTAATTTGACTATAGCAGCCTCCCAAGGGGCATAGTAAGCAGATGGGAAAACAGCTATAATTTCACAGCTTTAGAGAAAAAGGAGTGGAAATTGAATGACCAATCTTAAGAGTCAAAAGGAGTCCTACAGGTTATCTAGTCTAAACTCTCATATAGGGGTTCCTTCTCCAACATAGTGTACAGGGTCACCTAGTCTCTGTGTAAAAATCTCAGGAACAGTAGTTATTAGAAAAAGCAGACCATCTGATAATCAGATGGCTTGTCATTGTCAGAGAATTTCTCATCTGAAATTAACAACTATTATCTGCTTTCATTTTTATCTCCTAGAGCCATAGAGAATTATTTGAATACGGATACGTAAACATCTTTCCCCCTATCCTTATTCTCTGACCCCACCATAGTCTTTCCTTCAGATCAGGTGTTTAATTCAACAGATTTTTGGAATATAGTGATATATCAGAGAATAAAATGTGGTAAGTATGGCCGTAAGAGAACTCTTTTTGTACATGTTTGAAGTTGAAAATTTTTAAAGCAAGCAAAGGAACAATCACTTGAAATGTATACTTCTTTCCATGTAATAGGCTATTTCTCAAAGAATTACTCTTTTTGTTGCTAATGTGTGTGTTAGCTATAGAAAAGTCTAGATTCAAGGCCTAAGGAAGAAAAATTCGTTGGTTTGAGAAAAAGACATCTACTGGAATTTGCACAGCTCTCCTTCAACAAAGATATCTATTAGTCAATAGATGTCATCCCTTACACCTGTCTAAAATGACCCATTTCTTTTCCTGATTACCACTTATGGATTTTTTTTTTCTTTTTTTAAAAACTTTACACAAAATGTAAACTTCATATGGGATTATTCTTTGGTCTGAATCTTTTCTTTGAATGAAATAAGGTTTGGGAGGCTTATTTAGATGTTCAATGGAACAGTGTGGAGGACAGTAATTGTGTTTGGGCTAAAGAATTAATCCATTTAGTCATGGGAAGCATTACTTAGCTTTTCCTTAGTAGCTGAATTGTGGTGCAACTTAAGGGCTATTTTAGGGTTTTAGCCTCAGATAGAAACTTCTGGAAATGAAAGTTTATTTGTATTGATGAACATATGCTTTTGAATAATGAGCCTTTGAATTGATTTCGTTGAAAGTGAAATTGTTTTTCAATTCACAGTTCTTGTTTTATGTTAACTATGAATTGAAAGCTGCATCTTTGTATTGCTCAAATTAAAAAAAAAAAGTATCTTTAAGTTAGAAAAATACATTTTAGTAAAGTAGTTTAGTAAGTAGTAGTTGGGGTGGAATCAGAAAAGAATTGTAACTTCAGAAATTTCTGATGGTTGCTAGTATACTTTTGTATTCTGTAAATCAGACATGGTAATAAAATTACTTTTATCAACTGTAATTATTCTCTCAAAACAGAAAAGTTTACTGCGTTTTGACATCTAGATGGCCAAAAAAGGAGTGCTGAGAGATTATTTCCATCTTAGAGAAAAATTATCCCATATTTTATATAAAACATTTTCCAAAATTGTTAGGCAAAGGAGAATTTCCTGATTTAAGTTGTTTACATATATGCACCTTTACTGTAAGTCTGCCAGGATCTTCAGTCTGAAGAAAAATTTTGTAACCCTTTTTTTTTTTTAACTTAGTAGTTATCATAGCCTGTTTATGCTGTTGCACTTTTTCCTTGTTTCATATACAGTTTTATACACTACCAATCACTACCAGTGCACTACCAATCAACAGTCAGTCACTACCTGTCAGTGCACTACCAGTCAACGAATACTTACTGAACACTGACTGTATGCCTAGTATCACAATTAAACTCTATTGAGATAGGTTTTTGTGTGCCCTTGAGTTGATTTTGGCTCATAGTGACCCTGTAGTACAGAGTGGAACTGCCTCGTAGGGTTTCCTAGACTATAATGTCTACAGAAGCAGATTGCCAGACCTTTTCTCCCAAGGAGTCACTGGTGGGTTCCAAATGCCGACCTTTCAGTTAGCAGCCGAGTGCTTAACCATTGTACCACCAGGGCTCCTTGATTGAGATGAGCAGATATTTACTGATGATCTAAGAGAGAAAGAAACAAGTTCTGGTTTTATCCCAAAGCAGGGATATATATATTCAAAGCAGGGAGTTGAGGCTCTTTAACTTACCTTTAAACCTCTTCCTAAGTTTCCCTCAAAGAGAATTAGCCCTACGTGTGGGTGTGGGTGTGGGTGTGGGTGTGTGTGGATATGTGTGGGTGGTTGGGGAGTGGTACTGAACTTTTTCTACTCTTCAGTAGAGTGTTTTATTTTTTTTTTTTAATAACAGCTTTATTGAGATGTAATTCACATGCCACACAATTTATTTACCCTTTTAAAGTGTATAATTAGCATATTCACATAGTTGTACAACCATTACTCCAGTCGATATTAGGACATTTTCATTACCCCACCAAGAAACTCTGTACCCATTAGCAGTCACCCTCCACTTTCTCCCAAACCCCCCAGCCCAGGAGAACCACTAATCTTTCTGTCTCTATAAATTTACCTTTTCTGGACATTTCATATAAATGGAATCGTACAGTATATGATTCTTTGTGACTGACTTCTTTCACCGTAGCATAATGTTTTAAAGGTTAATCCAAATCAGAACTTCATTATGTTTGAATAATATTTTGTTGTATAGATATACTATATTTTGTTTACTCATCAGTTGATGGACATTTGGATGCATTTTAGTTTGCAGTGATTGAAACAACATTAGCTAGGGAGTCAAACCCACTAAGTAGTTGACAGTGTGTTGATAAAACCAACCTATTCTTAAAAAGAGACAGGTAGTTTAGTGTAAATCTATGCCAGAAGCATCAAAATTAACGTATTTTAGGCAAATAGCTTATATTTATTTTTGATAGCCCTACTTTAGGAGAATGATAGTGATAGGGGTAAGAATTGAGTACTTTCTAAAAGGCCAAAGGCAACTCAAGAAAGTTTTAAAGATGGAAAAAATACTTATATACTGACAGTATTATGTAAATAATAGGTAGGGGAAGTATGTTATAGTAGAAAGAATATGGACTTTGGATTCAGATAGATCAGGGGTTTCTGATCTAATTTTGACATTCTCAGCCTCAAATTTTCTCTGCTATAAAAAGTAGAGATGATTTATTAGGAATGAATGAGAACCTCTGAAAGGAATGTCACACAGTGCTTGGCACATGGTAGTTACAGATAAGATATTCTTTCCATGAATGTTTATTAAATCAAATTGCTTCTATGCCTTTGGTTTTGTCTGCATCCAGGAACTTCTTTCTTCCTCCTTCCTAGTTAATCCAAATTCATCCAAGTCCACTTGAGTCTCATCTCCTTCCTGAAGCTTTTCCTTTGTGACCTTTTGATGTTCCTCATCTTTAAAATGTATGATTTGAATTGAATGTCTAGCCCCTTTCTGCTCTTCACTGTGATTCTCAGACTGAAGCCAACATTGATATTGCTCTTTGAACCCTCCTGGCTCTTACTTACGTATACCACACAGTTAAGTACTATGATCTTGTACCTGGGATTATGTTTTCATAAGAATGTGGTCATATTGAGGGCAGGCTCTGAAAAACAAATGCTGCTGTATCTGTATTTACACTTGCACCAAAGTAACATTTCAGTTTATTGAGCAATATTACTCTTGTTTTTTTGGATCGGTATTTTTAATAGGAAATTGGATGGTGGATAGAACCAAGATGGAAGTACGTGATTCCATTGTGATTTAGGAGATAATATAGAAGTTTTATGAGAGACTTTAGAGCCTACCTTGGTGGTGTAGTAGTTAAGAGCTTGGCGGCTAACCAGAAGGTTTGCAGTTCAAATCCTCTAGTCACTCCTTGGAAACCCTGTGGAGCAGTTCTGCTCTGTCTTATAGGGTCGCTATGGAAGTGACTCATCAGCAATGGATTTGGTTTTGGTTCTTTAGTAAGTGGGTGGGGCAGTTGGTATAGAGTTAAATAGAAGAGTCTTGCAGTTCCAAAGCAAGAACCCTAGATCGTACAGATAGAGAACCAAGCAGAATGAAAACGGGATTTAGTGTAGGAAGCAGAATTATTTGGAGAAATGGTCTTGAAGAAACGCATCTGCATAGGTAATAGAGAGTGTCTGGGGCTAGATTAGTATAGACTGTAGAGCACTTGGAGGATTGGAGTTGAGCTTGGGCTTGTCACAGACATCATGCTTTAAGTGATGTATTCATTATTTTCATGGAGCGTTTATTCTTCTCAAAGGGAAGATTTATTTTGTTTAACATCTTTGGGTTAACTTTAGGAAGGCTTCTGTGTGAAATTATGTTGGAATTGGTTTTAAGGATGTAAATCCTATAAATCCACAGCTTGGGTAACAAACTGAATCTCTAACAAATACAGGGAATTTAAAAGAAAAATCCCATTTTAAAAAGAATACCCAATATTACATTACAAGCAGTTGTGATACTCAAATTCTGTATCCAGAGGACATCTTTGTATGTCATTGGAATCATTATCACTGCCTACTCTCATTTAGGTAGAGCAGAACTAGAATTCAGATTTCTTAGATTTTGATATCTTTTATAAAGGCAAAGCCGTTATAAGTACATCACATTGCACACCTAAATGCCTTAGTGATTTTCTTGAAAAATTTAGTCAGCAAATAGCTATTATTTTATAAGCCACTATGGATACTGCAGAAAAGAAAAAAATCAGTGCAATCTTTTTTGCTTGCTATCTTACCGTCTCCCTCAGATATATGAAAATAACCACCAAGAAGTAATGTTTGGGATATGATCGTACAAAAACCAGTGTGCTTTGTGTCTAATGTTCAGAAGGAGAAGATGACTCTATTCTGGGGTAAATATAGTCACATGCAGACGGAAATAATTGAATTTGAATCCTGGAGAATCTGGTATAGGGAGAATTTGACTACATGGAGGAAATGGGAATAGTATTTTAAACCAGAAGAACAACAGATTGGGAGAACAGTATGAACAAATTGGTTTGGTTGGGAATCTTTAATGTGGTGATGTTTACTGTAAATTAGGTAGGAGAGACACCATCTACAAAACTGTTGATTTAGTCCAGAGTCCTAGGGGTAATTTACCAGGTTAGTAATAGTAGTATTGAAAGTAAACAAAATATTGTCAAAATAATTTTAAAATAAGTTAACAGGATTGATGACTTGATAAAAAGATTGATGGAGAGAGGAGTGAGAGAGAGTTTTCAGATTGCAGAATTAGGTGATTTTTAAAATGATTGTGCCAGTGACAGAAATAGGGAAGTTGGGAGGAAGAACCCATTTAGAGAGAAGATAATGAGTTTAGTTTTAGATGTGTTGTGTTTGGGTTGTCTCTACTTGATTCCAGTGAAGAAATTTCAGGAAATAGGATTAGAATCTTTGTGTCAGGCCTAGAGATGCAAATATATGTTGATGCTTGGACATAGAAGAAACTGCAGAAATCATGTGATCCACTAGTTACATGATTTTTGAGACACTCAAGCCTTCTACCTTTTGTTTTTCTGGCTCATGCTGTCCGCTACAGAAATTGGTTTGTTATGTATTTTGAATGAACAGTGAAAAAATAAACCACTCTTATTTCCATAGCTGTTTATTATAGTGGAATTTTATCAAAAGATGCAGCCATTTTGCTAGATCTGTGATGAGACTAGCAATAGTATTGTCTCCTTAATTTAAGAACAAGTCCTTTGCCAAGGGATGTTCAGATGAACAAATCTGTAACTTAGGGTTCTATAGCAGGTAAAAGAAGAATATTTGATTGAAATGAAAGGAGACCTAATTTTAAGAAACAGGTGTATTTTCAGTGGTACAGTGATTTTAAGATGTATTAGAGTGGAACTCGTACATGATAGAAAAAAAATTTGTTTCACTTTTCTAGCAGATGACTATTTAAAACGGGGTATTTAAAATTAACTTTTTTTCTAGTGTGTTAATATTGTTTTCATTTTGAGCTCCCTGTTCTTCTATATAAATATTTGATTAAAAGTTTTTTGTTTACAAAAATTTAAAATGTTATGATTATTTTAATGTCATTTGAGGACATAAGGAAAAAAATCCCTTCCCAAAATAACTTGAGATATTATTATATGGCTAAAACAAAATCTGTGGCCTTTTCTTTTAAGTAGAAATTAAAAAAAAAAAATTGTAGTATGGTGTTCATTTTTTTAAGTATAAAGCCTTTATTAATGAGAATACTAGGTAATTGTGGGGTAGTTATCAAAATATATTGTTATGTATTTTAACATGTTAGTTAATAAATGTTTGAGTGCATGATGAGTTTATTGCAATACGTAACACCTTTAAATTGGTTGTGTTTTATTAACAGGAGGTCGCTATGTTGAATTTTATTGCCTTATGAGGGGGAAAGAAACAATCCAGAACAATAATCAAAGCCAAGGTAGAACAACTTGTTAAACACTTCAGAATTAGACTTTTTTTTTCCCCTTCTAGTGTGCTACTTTGAAGGCAGCTGCTACAGATAAACTCTGAAGCCCCAGATGGTGGTTGCCTAATCCTCATGAGAATTCATGTCCTTGGAAGCAGCTCTTATCTCTCCAGACCTGACATTGTCTGTGAGCTTTCTCTAAGGAGGGAATAATATAAACATGCTATGCATGAGTTTCACTTCTTGAATATGTCAAAGACACAGGAAGTTATAGTAAAGTATAACAAGAACAGAGTTCACATTATTGAAAGTGTTGTTACTTAAAGGATTTGATGCTAGCTTGTGATGAGTGATGGGGATAGTTTGGGAGGATAGGCAGAATGAACATTTTTATGAAATGAAAATGCTTCTCCTCATAATATCATGAATGCAGAGATGTAGATTAGTTATTAAGTGTGCAGTACCCAGAAGAATTCACTGTTACTTGATTTGCTCTAATCTAACAATTTAAAACAATTCATCCCGTAAATGAATGTTCTGGCTCTTATTTCCCGCCAGCAGTTCTTTCTGTTTGGGAAGTCAAAACAGCAATTCCACTGTTACAAATTTAATGTTGTATCCAGAATTTTTTCCAGGAATCTGATTGGTGAGAGCCAGGTCAGTGACAACTGGAAATGATTGTCTTTTTAGTAGCCAAATTGTTCTGAAGTGGGGTTATAGAGACTATCTACACCAGACAGCGTCTCATTTAATATGCATGACACCATCATCATGAATAGTTGTTGAATCACCCATTACTTGATGAGATGACTCCGTATAGGCAACATGAGGCCCTTTCCCCTCTGAAACTTAGGAAATTTATAACCAAACGGGAAAGTATAATGTTCTTCATAATATAGTCTGCATATATGTCTTTCAAGTCATATATGTATCTCTTCTAAATATCTTATTCTCAAGCCCCTCAGAACCTCTTACTAGTCCCAAGATCTGTTGCGCCCATTTATGTTTTCATATACCATTTCTCATTCTGTCCTGTTTTCTGATGAGCACTTCCCAAGAGGAACTTCTAGTCATCCTGTGAGACCTATTCAAATATTATATTGTCTGTGAAGTTTTCCACAGACTGAGTCATTTCATTTTCTCTTCTCCTATAGTATTGTAGCCAGAGTAATCATTCTAAAATACAGATTTGATTGTGTCCTACCCGTTATAAAAAAAGTTTTTTTTTTTTTTTTAAACTATAATTGCATTTCACATCAAACCCAGTGTATCAGCCTAGTGGCCTGTGTGTTCCTTGGTGTAGTCTACGTCTTAGCCAGTCTTCTGTTTCTTCTTACCTACTGTCTTGTCAAAGAATGTCTTGATATTATTACTTCTTCTGAGACTATTTTATGCTCCTTCTTTGCCCTGGAGTGCCCCTGTGTCCATTTTAGTCTTTCTCATCCTTCAAAATCTTGCCAGATCTTGTCTTCTCCATGAGGCCCCCACACTCCCAGTAGTCAAAAATCACAATACTTCTCCTGTCACAGCTCCTACTGAGCTCGTTATGTGTAAGACATTGTACTAGATTCTGCTGAGTACAAAAACTAGTTGGGAAAAAAAATCCTGAATCTTAAAAAGTTTATAATCCTGTAGGGATGACTATAATACAAAGTGAAAAGTGTTAAGAGAGAATTCAGTTGCAGGATAGATCACTTCCAACTGGAGTACTCACATAAGGGTATTTTAAGTGATTTCTGTTTGCCTCCTTTGTTGAGTTGGGAGCTCTTGATGGGAGAGCCAGATTGCTCAAACTTTGTATACCCTTCAGTGTCTAGCACAGTGTGTCAGGGAGGATGGAGAAAAGGAATTAAGTTTGAAAGATTAATAGGAAAAACTTGAGTAGAACCTGGCATTGGGTCAGATACAACTGGTGATATGGTGAAGGGAGAGGCATCCAAGACCCTTGTTCAATAAAAAGTTTTTTACATTGAATTAATTGATGATTGACCTTCGGTTTGTTTTCTCATGTTTTCCTTGCTTTATGAAATTATTTTGCCTACTGTGTGCTAGAGTAGTCTGAAACTTCCTGCTTACCACCTGTGTCCTTTAGCTGTCTACCCACTGAACTCATTCTGTATTGCTTCCTGCTTCTGTCACATTTGCCTTCCCCCCTCCCCCCACACACACATTCTCCTTTTTGGGTTCTGTTCCCTGCAGTACATTAAAAGGCCAATGAAAACATGCCCCAGATGGTGCTGTTCTTTATCATGATCTCTCACCACTTTGTGCTCCTATTTAAAAGAACAAACAAAAAGCAAAACAAAAAGACACATGCTGCTGGTTTGTAACCCAGCTGTCTCTGATTTCTCTTATTCTTGTCTTTGCTGTTCTTTTTCATTCTTGGTTTCTACTCTTTTCTTCCCCCGTTGCTCTGCTCCCATTTCTGCTCTCCCATTTGTACACCAACAATATAAAATCCTTTATATTCTTTCTCTGACTGGATTGTTCATTCCGTTATTCGTGCTTCTCATTCTTAATCCTTTCTCATTTTCTGTTTTTCTAGTTCCCTTTCTGTCCATCATCTTTTTTTCTCTCTGTTTTCTCCTCCGTTTCCATTTCTGTCTTCATTATCCTTCAACTCTACTCTCTTTTCATTCTTCACTGTATATCTTAAAACAAAACAGGAAACGAAACTCCCCAGACCTCATTTTGGACTTAATTTCCATATTCTCTATTTCTTTAACTTGAGCTGACTTCATGCTTTCCTCCTTCATTTATTACTGTGTGTTCTTTTCTCCATATTCCTTCCTTATAATAAATCTTAAAAAAGCAACAACCCTGGTTATTGTCCATCATTTCTGTTCCCTTACTCCATGTGCTTCCTTCCCCTTTCCATTATTGTTCCAGTGATTTGTGTGTGTGTGTGTGTGTGTGTGTGTGTGTGTTTATCAAGACCCTGAGAAGAAAAAGGTATGGCTAGTGTGCAGCTACAGTAGTGAATCCTGCAATCACCTTAGTGGTGGGGGTAGAAGCAGGAGTCCAAAAGGAGAGAATGAAGATTTGCATAAGAAACTGGAGGGTATTTATGCCTGTTTGTAAAATACGCTTTGTGGAAAATAGAGTTGGAAGCATAACTGAGGAACAGGAAGATAGGAGAAATAGGCTAGATAGGTGCTGGACCATTGGGAGTCCCTCAGCTCAAAAATACGTATCTCTTCTTTCTTCCCCCTCTGACTCATACTTACCACCAAGTTGTTATTTGGAAATTCATGTGGCTTAACTGGTCTTTTTAAAAATGCAAATGTCCTATGATATTAAGTCTCTTTCAGATCTTGTGTGAATTACTTTTAATCAGATTGTGAATAGGGGGTTTTAATTTTATTTGGGTATGAGGGAAGGGCAGTGAAGGGAGGACAAGCTATAACGGTTAGAAGGGGTTTGAGGGAGAAAGGTATCATTACATTCTTTTTTAACTTTTGTTTTGAATTTATTATTTAACAGAAGGCAGTATTAGTGATCACCTGGTTTATTTTATAGGTGAAAAAACAATCCAGAGAGATTGACTTGTTGAAGTCTTACAGCTTGTTAGTAATGGAAAAAGGACAATTCTGTCTACTGTTCTTTTTACAGCACCATATTATTTTTGTACTACAGAGGTTTCCTAGACATTCCTTGGCTTGAACTGGGAGGAGCAGGATCAAAGGGGAAAAGAGACAAAAAAAATAATATGTATATATGCCTTCCCTCCTCCTCCTCCTTTCTGCCTTTATTATTAGCACATTATAGTATTCTGGATTGCCATATTTGAAGCACAGGACCCACTTGAATGAACAAGGATCTGTTGTATTGCCAATAGAAGGAGAAAAACAAAAATATTAGGCCTTTATTAAAGAGGAAAAGTAATATCAGGTATATTTAAACGTCTTTCTATGCTGTTTTATTTATGTTCATCAGAAATACAACTTCTGAGATAATAAGATCACTTTTTGTCTAGAAAATCTGAATGGATGGGAGGGAAACCAAAACCTACCAGAGAATCAAGTGGGCCAGCATTACTTTAAAAAATTGAATGTGTTTAAATCAGCAGGGCCCAATGACATGCATCATAGGGCACTTAAAGATTTGGCAGATATCATTGCAGAGGCACTAGCAAATTACCATGCACAGGATGTGAAAAGGGCACAGTAATGGTAGTGCTTCTAAACCACCACTTTTGTTAGTCTAGTGTTCTTCACCACCTCCCCACAAAGCTATAGAAACAAAGAAGCTATACAAAATTCACGTTATTTATATTGCATTGACCCTTGAAAACACCATTTACCCAGCCAGGCCCCATTCTCACTCATCATTTTCTCAGCTTATGCATTCTAAAAATAAATCCAGTGTGGATTTTAAGCGCTTGTGTGATGTCAGTGGAAAACAGTAGAAACACAGCTTCCATTTACAAGTAATTCTAGAATTCCAGTTTTCCGAGTACTTTTAATGTACTGTCCAACCCAGAATGTCTCTGGTGTACTATGTAAGGATAAAGTTAGATCAGTTTGTCCTAGAAAAAGTTTGTGTTCTTTGGATTCAGTTTGTATTATTAATCCAGACCTTCTTTACTTAATTGTTTACATCATATACTTTTCCTGCTTCTACAAAAGTATTTTAGGTAGATTGTGATACAGTGCATAGACAATGGGACAGTTAAAACTAAAGTCAGAGTAAACTATCAGATAAAGTTTCCTCTTCTGGGCACCTGAGGTAAAATGATTACTGTAGTTAAACATTAAATTTAGCTCTCAGCTTTGGCAACCAAAGCAAAGGGAAATGTAATGGGTTATGTGGTTTTTGTTTAAAGAGAAGCACATTGCTTTTTTTACTTTATATTATGGTTATTTGTGCACACATTGTATTATGTCTGTAAAATCCTTTAGAGTAAGGACCGTATGAATCCATGTTCTGTCCATCACATATGAACAGAACTTGTGTTTAGCACAAGTGAGTGAATGGTTCTTTTAAGGAAAGTAACTTCTTTTGGCACTGAAATCTAAGAGAAAAGTTATCACTGGAATTCTTGTAAAAGAAACACTTTGAGTAATGCAAATTATAGACAACTTTTTCAGCTGAGGTTTTATAAAGGATGCCAAACAGTCCTTCATATAGCCTTTGCTTGCTTTGAACCCCAGTAAATCAAAGGGATACCTGGGAAGGGCACGGTGGTATCCTGAGCAAATCATGAGCTTTGAAGTCAGATGGACCCAGTTCTAGCCCCAGATGTACTGCTTTGCACTCTGTAACCTCGGTTGGACAAACTGTGTAACCTCGCTGAGCTTTAGTTTCGTCGTTCGTAAAATAGGGCTAACAGAACAATTATTAACTGTGTATGTTCAAAATATATGAAGCAGAATTTAGCAGAATTAAAGAGAGAAATAGACAAATCTAGCATCATCATTGGGTTTGTTAACGCTTTCTGTTAATAATCAACAGAACAGTTAAAATAAAAATAAAACAAAACAATAAGGACGCAATGATCTGAAAAATAAGAGGCAGGAATATAGGAAATCTATTTTAGAAAAGTCTTTCTTAAAATTATTTAAAATGTTTTATTTTGAAGTAGAGCTTAAATTAGTACCCATCAACAGAAGAATGATTATGATATACCTAAGTTGTGGAATATTATGCAGTCATTTCAAAGTGTGTTAAAGTATACCGGTTGACTCACAGGTTAAGTGATTATAATATCATTCCATTTTTTTAAGCAATGTTTTCTAAAAAATAAAAATGTATGTGTGTGTACAAAGAATGAAGAAAAATATAGAAAGGCAGATCTTTATAGAATGAAGAAAAATATAGAAAGGCAGACATCTGGTGTTAATTTGAGAATTGTTGTCTTTATGATATTGAATCTTCTGATCCATGATCCTAGTGTCTCTCCATTTGTTTAGGTTTTCTTTAATTTCTCTCATCATTTTTTTGAGATTTTTATGTCTTGAACATTTATCGGCAAATTTATCTCTAAGTATATCCTGCTTTTTGATGCTGTTGTGAGTACGTTTTAATACAGTTTACAATTTAATACAATTTAAATTTTTAGCTGATAGTATATAGACTTAAAATTGAATTTTGTTTAATTATCTTTTATTCTGTGATCTTCGTAAACTTAATTGTTAGTTCTAGTGACTCTTCTTGCAGATTCTTTAGTATTTTCTACCTTAACTATCCTGTTGTCTAAAAATACAGTTTTACTTCTTCCTTTTCACTCTGTATGCCATTTATTT